AATAAATTTTGCAGTATCATAAAATATAAATGTTTGTAGGGAAAAAACCCAGACCGTAGAATCTTTTTTTTAAAAAAGATCATCTTAAAATCACAAACGCTCGTCCAAATTTAAATAAGATTTTATATATGTATACGTTTTTTAGGTGAAATGAACATTATAGTTTAACAATATGATCTGTTCTGATCGTTTATTGGCAATTATTTTTAATTATAAGCTTTTTCTTGGTCGGAATTCCAGTATTTTTGTAAAATTGATAGAAATATTCTGTTTTGACAACTATATATAGTTAATATACGTCAGAACCGATTAGAACTAGGATCAGTAGTAAATTAAGTAACTTTTTAAAAAGATTTTAACTAAATTCATGTTAATGTCGATGAGTGAAATTGATCTAAAGACTCCAAAATAGTGTTCTTTAGATACATTGTTACGGGTTGTAAAAAGATTTTAAAAATTATATATAAAAAAGAAAAGTTTCTTCAAATATTATAAAAACCTTAAGCAAAAAAAATTATAACATTTAAAGATCTTGTTTGGGGATAATATGCTGACAAAACCATGCTAATTCCAAATAAAAGTAATCAAATATTTTGTAAATAGCCTTAACTACACCGAGCATGTTATTCTACTTCCCTTAGGTCTCTTTTAAGTTTTTCTTCTCAACGCAACAAGCATTTTTTAATAGCAAGACAATGTTTATCATTTTGTTTTATAATTAAAACAATTTCACTATAGTTAGTAATCATTTTTAAATGCTTTTACACAATTCACGGTTTTATTTATCTTTGAACTTTTATTTTTGAATTACGTAAGCATTTTTGATTTCTGTCTTCTATTTTAGACGGAAAAACTAATGTATTAAACAGTACAAGACAGACTAAGTTTATATCAAATTTGATTGAATTAAGTTTTAAGTATTTATTGCAAATTAGATTTCCACCGGCCATAAACAGCGAAATTATATCTCTAGCTTTTAAGTTATAAACAAACTAAAAACACTATAAATATATATATTTTTATTAGAAATAAATGAAATTAAAATAATTTTATTGCATATATGGATAGACTTTTTCATTATCTTTACACCGATATATAAATTAATATGCTTTTGTTAACATTAATTTGCAAATTCGCCAAGTGCATCCCTAAACATTCTTGAACTTTCTATCCAGTCGAGAAGCTTGATAAAAGAACTTAATGCAATCTTTAGCTCTTCTATAAATTGTAAATACAATGATCTTATTAAATTTAATAAAACTAGTAAACCTTTTTCAGATCTATATCTTCATCTCAACATTGCCTCATTTCCTTATCACATTGTTGACCTATGCAACCTTATAAGCACACTTAATATTGTACCGATGGCAATAGGGATTACAGAATCCAACTTATATATTAATGACACTAATATAACAGACATAACTATTAGTGGTTTCAACATTGAGCATTGTCCCACTGAAGCCAAAAAAGGTGGTGATCTTTTATATCTTCGATCAAGTTTAAATTATGTAGTTCGTAATGATCTCAAGATATATGCACCAAAATTACTAGAGCCTTTTTTTGTTGAATTTATGAAGCCCCACAAAACTAATATTCTAATTGGCTGCATATATCGTCACACATCAATGACTCAAAAGGATTTCACTTCCACCTACTTAACGCCGCTGCTAGAAAAACTAAGCAAAGAAAATAAATTGATACTTTTAATAGGTAATTTTAATATAGATTTACTAGATCATAGTGAGTTTAATCCTACCTCTAATTACTTTGATTCCTTATTCTTTTAGTCTTTTAACCCTTCTTTAATCCTACCTACCCGCATAACAGCTAAATCACAAACACTCATTGATAATATCTTCATGAACTTTAACTCTACTGATCATCTCTCTGGTAACTTAGCTATTTCTATTTCAGATCACATGGCACAAGTTGTATGTGTTCTTGGCACAGCCCGTCAACCTAACAAAGTTAAAATTTCAAGACGAAGTTTCAAAAACTTTGATACCAACAAATTTATTCTGGAAATCCCTAAAATCAACTGTGAAATCTTGATTAAAAAAGACGATGATGTGAATCAATCTGTCAATCACTTCTTAAGAAAATTTGAGAAAATTTTAAACCATCATGCCCCCTTTCAAACATTATCCAAGAATCAAATACTACTCAAATCTAAACCCTGGATCTCTAAAGGAATACTTAAATCTATATCTGTAAAAAATAGTATCTACAAAAAATTTGCAAGATGTAAAAATATTAATAATAAAAACGAACTCTTTAAAAAATTTAAATATTATAGGAACAAAATAAGCAGCTTACTAAATAGTAGCAAAAAATCCTTCTACATAAACTATTTCAATAACAACCTGAATAACATTAAAAATACATGGAAAGGCATTAAAGAAGTCATTAACATTAAATCATCATCCCACAATGCACCTTTTCAATTAAATTTGAATGAAAATATCATCACAAACCATACTACTGTCTCTAATATATTTAACAACTATTATATCTCTGTCAATAAAAAAACTACACAGAGAAATCAGACCAATAAAACGCAAGTTTAGAGACTTTCTTAATATGCCAAATACTAATTCCCTCTTTATTGATCCTGTGAGTGAAGATGAGGTATCTAATCTTATCAATAATACTTTAAAAAACAACACAAGCTATGGTCCTAACAGCCTACCCTCATTTTTTCTAAAACTTACATCTCACATTATCTCAAAGCCACTTTGCACTATTATTAATAACTCATTTGAAAGTGGCACATTCCCTGATGTATTCAAAGTAGCTAGAGTTGTTCCAATCCTCAAAAAAGGCTCTTTTCTAGATTATACTAACTTTTGACCCATTTCCCTTCTTTCCAATTTGAGCAAACTTTTAAAAACCTATACCAACATCAGTATGGATTCCGAAGCAAACATTCCACAACCCTTGCACTCATTGAAATTACTGAGAAGATTCAAAAAGCTCTGGATAACAAGCACTTTGCATGTGGAGTGTTTGTAGATTTGGAAAAAGCTTTTGACACAGTAGATACTTCTAACAAAATTGGAGTATTATGGAATCAGAGGCATCCCACTTAAATGGTTTAGTTTTTATCTTAACAATAGAAAACAGTTTGTTTCCATTAATGGGACTAATTCTGTCATAAAAAAGTGCTCAAATGGTGTCCCTCAAGGCTTAGGACCACGTCTTTTTCTTGTTTTTATTAATGACTTAAATACTTCTTTTAAATTTGCAACTGCTTACCACTTTGCGGACGATACTAACATGCTACTGATTGACAAATCGCTAAAAAAAATCAACAAATATATTAATCATGATCTCTCAAATCTTGTTCAATGGCTTCGATCTAATAAACTTTCTCTTAACTGTAATAAATCTGAACTTGCTTCAAGACCATCTAAATGACTTGACAATAAAACTCAGGAGATCTAATGGAATGTTGGTCAAACTCCGCCATTATGTAAATTTAGAAGCTTTTCTTAATATATACCATGCTATTTTTGGGTCTCGTCTAAGATATGCATGTCAAATATGGGGACAATTCTAGAAACACAATTTCTCAAGGCTATCCCATCTCCAAAATAAAGCCTTAAAAATAATATATTTTCAACCTAATAACTTTAAATCTAGTGTGCTGTACTGTATTTCCAATATACTAAAATTAAGTGACCTTGTTATATTCCTTAACTGTCAATTTGTCTGGAATTACCATTACCATAACCTTCCAGTATCGTTCAACAATTTTTATAATAAATGTTACTCTTGCAGACATACATCAATTAATTAAACTTTCATCAAGTATATGCTATTTTTTATTTGAAAACAATATCCGAATAATACCTAATTCAGGTCTTATAGGTTCATCTTTAATGGTTGTTATGGAGGAAGCGTTTTTATAAAATACTGGTATAAACATTTAAATAACATCATGTATATTATGTACTTACATAAATCTTTATATGTTTTTACATCAGGCCAACAAACACCAATTTTGAGAAAATAATCTATACTAACAGTCCTCTATAACTATACTAACACCTCTATACTAACAGTCTTACCATACTTGTGCACGTCTGCGACACAAGTACCATATTTTAAGAACATAATAGAATATTGGAAACATATATGGAGATTTTATTTCCAGTTTTCGTTTAAAAATTCTTTTTTAACGAATTTAAATGTTCATCTAGTTGATTTTTGAAACTGTTGACTAAAGTCGCGTCAATTACTATTTGCGTTAGGGCATTTCACTGCAACACAATAATTGAGTACTCTTTGCTGTGCAAGTCTTTGATTATGACCAAGCATAATATACTTTGACGACGAAGGACGATTGAATAATACATAAAAGTTTATTTCATCAAATCCACGTATGAACGTGAACATCAAAGCTAAGTCACCTCTTATTCTTCTTTCTTCAAGTGTTGTAAGACCTAACATGACTCTTCGCTGCTCGGTGTTTTAAACATTTTCTAGCGCTTCTATGCCTGCCCGTTGGTAAGGTACGTCTCTAGGTAAGGACGTACGTACGTGGTGTACACTTCTTTTCACAGTGAAAAACTATGCTGCAAATAGTTTTTTTCAGCCTTTCTAAGGAGTGGTTAGCGTTCATCGCAGCGACTAAAACTTGAGCATTACGTTTAACATCATTTTAGATAAGAACTCCAAGGTCTATCTCTGAGCAACTTCGATTGCATGTGTCAGGCCGTCTGATCCTTGTATGTGATCTCATTTTGATAACTTTTTTTTCTCTTTCCAGTATTCATGACTAGTAACGAAGTAACTAAATTTATTTAAAAAAGTAACGTTGTTGACATCAACTTTTCTTGACCTCCACCCCTCCCCTTTGTCAAAAATTGTCAAAAATATCCAGACCCCCCCTCCCCTATTTTGTTGACGTAATTAATTGACAGCCCCAAACACACTGACTTAACATTTTCAATGATTGGCTGCAAGGCAACTTCCTGTACAGTAATAAATGCAATCTGATTGGTTAAAACTTGTAAGAACAAGATGGCTGTTTAGATTAGATTTAATTTTAGAAGCTTTTAGTGTACTTGGGACTTATTGCCTCATGGGTCTTAATACCCCGCTTTCCCCTAATTTAACTTTAAAAAGCATATTAAAGTTGCTTCACTACCGGCAATCCTGAAGTGCCGACTATTACGCATATCTTTGTTGACAATAGTTATCTGGTATTAAACTACTTATTTTAAATGTAGAAATTCAAAACTAAATATAATTAATGCATAAACACACCAAAATGTGTAATGATTAGTATTTCTGAAGTAATCAAACAAAATTTGATAACTTCTTAAATTGAAATTGAATTAACGGCTATACCAGTCAACGAAGTTTTTAATTTATTAAATAAAATATGTTAAATAGTAAGCCATTGAGTTCTCTCAGTACTGAAGAGCTTGCGAGGGCTCTTAAGTCACTGAATTTAAATGTGGGTCCAATAACATCTTCAACTAGAAAAATTTATGAAAATCGATTAAAAGAACATTTGCTTAAAACTATAGAAAGTAATCCATCTAACGAAAAGCCCAATAATTATGTTTCTAAAACATTAGAAGAAGATAACTTTCAAACTAACATTAACAGCAATAATGATTTTTTAAATAAAACAGATATACCAGATACTGAAATTTCTAATGGAGAATCAAAGCCTCAAAACTTTTATGCAGTGTGGACACCAATATCATCAAAAACTGAGAATGGTGTCAAAATACCAAATATTTATACCTCTCAACAAAACGCTTTAGCTTTTATGAAAGAGAACCGTGGTTCTAGATTTAAACTTTTCAAGAGCATTGAAGAGGCAGAACATTTTTCATTATCAAAGTTAGACAAACCTAATGTCGAAAAAGTTGTATCATCAAATAGGGTTAATAGTGTGGATAGCAAAATAGTATTTAAATCGCCAACATTTCACGAACTTTTGAAATTTAAAAAATATATTGAAGAAGGAAATTTTTTAGAAGTACAAAAATGTTTATGCAATCCAAGATATTTAATTACATCATTAGATATGCCTGTAATTCTTCAAGAAGGTTGTCGCTATAATCCTATGCATGTTGCTGTGCATGCTAATAAACCTAACATATGTAAATACTTTATTGAACTTTTGCATTCACACAAATTTCTTAAGCTTGTATTTTCGGATGAAAGCGATGATTTAAATTTTAGAGAAAAACAATTAGTGGACATTTTTCTAAATACTCCTGATAAGGCGGTGAGGTTTTTTCATTTATAGATAAATTTAAAATAATTTAGAACAGTCCTTGAATAAAAATGTACACATGCAAGATAAAGGATCGCTTTAGCCTTCATATCTAATTTTTTCGGGTTATATATTAAGGAACATTCAAATAATGTATGATTTTTGCTTTTTGAAGCCCTTTTCCAGTCACATTGCAACATTTTTTTGGAATATATATATATATATATATATATATATATATATATATATATATATATATATATATATATATATATATATATATATATATATATATATATATATATATATTTGTAAAAAATATGGAATATATTTATATATTTTTTTTGAAAAAAAAGATTTTGTTTTCAAAAAAAAAATGTAAATATGTTCAGTATATAGACAGTTTCTTATGTCGGATTTGCTATTAACCTAACAACCCATTACTTTTCAAGAGTGCCATGGATTGTTATTTTAAAATAATTTTGACAAAAAAATTACTTGAGTACAAAAAATACTTCAGTGAAAATACTTCTTAGATAATCTTAGGCAAGAGTTTCAAGTTTTTTATAAACAGTTGAAGTTAAAGATAATAACTTTGTTAAATATCTGTAAAGTTTTAGTTAACAATGTAGGTTGTGATTAAAAAACTTTGAAGGAGGAATTTATTACTTGGTACTTAAAAACCTGATGTTGCGAGTCATGTTATAAAGCATTATTTTTTCAAAAAAAAGCTGTGAAAATATTTAATTATTTTTGTTTAATATATTTTAACATCTAACATTATTTTTTATGAGGTTGGTATTCTAATATTGTTTGGAACTTTGAGTTATATTAGATCTAAGTCTATTATAAAAATTTTAGTTAAATCTCCACTAACCACCCCCATATTTTTTAATTGTAGGACACACAATTTTGTATCCTATAATGAAGTATTAAAGATATTTTAAATTTAAAGAAATGTTTTGAATTTCATAGTAAGACAGTTTTTCTGGAAGGTTTTTCTATTTAATTTTATTTTGATACACGTTTTATGTTAAAGCATTTTCAAGCTATATTCAGAATTTTCAGATTATAAAAAAATTTAGCTATATATATATATATATATATATATATATATATATATATATATATATATATATATATATATATATATATATATATATATATATATATATATATATATATTATAGTTTTCTACAAATTTATTTTTATGTAATATCTATTTTTCTATATCTTTAACTTAATATATGAGTAAAAAAATTTAGAAATTACAAAATTCTTTTAAAACTACTGAATTTTTTATTTAGTTAATTTTATATTTTATTTATTATCTTAGTTGTCAGATTATTTTCTTAGTTATCAGAGTTGTCAGTATATTATCTTAGCTATCAGATTTGTTAGTCCTTGGTCTTGGTCTTGTCTTAAGGCCAAAAATTGAGGCTTTGGCCTTGCTACTTTTGGCCTTGTTAACAATTCTGGTTTTAATATAATTAATGTATAAGTTGTCTATTATAGGTCACTCTTATACTCTTATAAGTCACTATATTTTGTTGACTATTGCTTCTCTATGTTGAATGTTATATTTTGTGCAGCCAAGTTCCAAATTGGTGTTAATTGATTTTAGTGTTCTTAATTGTATTTGCTGCATTTTGCTTTATTTCATTGATGCTAGCATAAAGTAGTGGTGCAAATGGATCTACAAGTCTTTTTTAATTATTTTTTATTAATCAGTCAAATCATTTGAGTAAGTGTTTCTCTTTGAAAACCTTGTGTTTTTATCATTAGGTCTATTTCTAATCTTTTGATTAGATATAGACTTAGTGAGAAAAGTGACTTGAGGCAATTCCATTATTGATACTTATATTGTGTTTAACTCTGAAGTAAATTGTAGCAGTTTCAGTTTACTTGAAATGGTCATAATTTCTAATTTTTTTATTTTAAATAACATTTTGTTATTAAAACCAACTATAAACATTGTTTCAAATTCTTTGTGTTAAAAATAATTGTTAGATTTTTGTGTTAAGGTTTTATGTTAAAATACTGTGGGCATGTTGCATAGTCTTCGACAATGTAAACAAGAATATTGTTGGCAAATTTGTGTTATTTAGAATTGCATTCAAAAAGTATGAGTGTATAAGAAATGTTTGAGGTTGCCACTCCGTTAATAGTAAAAACCTGCTGGTGTCTAGCAGGTTTTTACTATTAATGGAGTGGCAACCTCAAACATTTCAAGGTACAACGTAATCCAGGAATTGAGCCATTTAGCAAAGTTCTTAGTTAGTTTGGTAAATAGAAGGTATTTAGAAGTAACATTTAGCAGTAGCATATTTAGAAGTAACATATTTTCTTGTTTAGTATTTACTTAATTGTAAATTAATATTTTTTTCTACAAGAATTCTTTTTAATTTCACAACAGTTAATAGTAATTAATACCTAACAAATATCTAAATACCTATAACAAAAAAATTACTTAAATAACAAATACCTAAAAAAATAATAACAACCTATCTAAAACAAAAATGTGTTTATATTAATTAAAAATTAAAATAAAAGTTTTAAAGGTGTATTTAAGTTGACATAAAACAATGAAATTAAAAGAACTATTTACCACTTTATCTTTCAGGTTTTTAATGCAGCATACTAATTTCACTTTTTTTAAGGCTAGTAAAATAATATTTTATAATAAAGTTTTATGTTTTATGTATGTACATTTATATAATGCATATTACTTATTATATTATATATAATATTAGTAATAACATAAAAATGTTATAACTTATAATTAAATGTATAAGTTTTAATTTCCAAATAAAATGTGAATAAAATAAAAACAATTATTTATTCACATTTTAATTAGAATTAGTTTTAATGTTCTCAATTTCAAAATCTTAGTATTTATTAAAATTAATTATAGATGAGTATTTACCCATTACTAACAGCAGTGTTTACTTAAAATTGAGAAAGTTTTTTATACGTTAATAAGACTAGTGTTAACTTTATTTTAGTGTTGCGATACACCCTTGCACACTGCATGTAAGTTTTGTTTTAAAGAAATAGTAGTATTTCTATTGACATGCAAAGAAACTGATCTTAAATCAATTAATAAAGATGGTTTCACTGCTTTCCAGGTAATCTATTTTTACAGTTTTTATTTTTATTTTTTTATTAGTGTTATAAAGTGTAAATATTTATGTTTTAATTTAGGTCATTGGTCATAGAATAAATAGTCAATCACCTCTTATACGAGATATCAGGGAATTGTTTGAAGGTAATTCAATGTTTATGTGTATTTTTGAACTATTACAGTTTAATACAGTATTATGGTTAGAAGATATAACATTCTTTTTGCAAGGTGATTTTTTTTTTTCTTGTGTGTGATCTTTTACTTAACAAGTAAATTTTCATTATTTTCTATATAGTTTATATTTTTTATAGTTTTATAGTATTTTACTTGTTTAAAAATTATAAGTTTAGCGAAAATTATTAATTCTTTATTAGTTTTATTAATTCTTTATTAGTTATTGTTTATCATTAGCAGTAAGAGAATATTGAAAGAAAACAAAAAAAATTAAGTTTTCCTTTGTCAAAAAGTCTGCTAAATAATTATTGTTTGCCAAATCAATTGGTTAGACTAGAATTTCTATTGTAATGATTTTTTAAAAAGCGTTTCTACAAAAGCAACTCAATAAATTAGGTACAGTAATTTAGTTTAACATTACATCTTTCATACATGGTCTGATCATATTACCTTTTCCGAGGATAAGGGAATACTATTTGCAAAAAAAATTTTTCTAATTTGTTTCTTAAATCAAATGTTCACACATTTCCTTTAATCATAATGAAACAGGTTTATTTATTGGTGTACCCTCATGGTAGTCTGGTGGCATGGGATGACTCATTTTCTCAAAGGGCGACTGAAATTTAAAAAAATGCCTGTCAGTACCCCGACAGGACGACCAGACAGTTTGTTACTTACAAAAGAGTGTTTATTAATAAAACCATATTTTGAACTATGCAGATTTTATTTCTTGTGATTATTTAAAAAAAACCTTTAAAAAGCATTTAAAGTAGTATACATATACTCGTTAAATAATGAGTACATTATGGTGTGTTTTACAAAATTTTAATAAACTTGATGATAAAAAGCCAACACTTGATTTAATATTTATAAGTGCAATTTTACTGTGTTTTTTTTTAAGGTTGTTGCATTTTGAAGCACATTTCTTCTCAATTCAAAAATAAATTTTAAAATTACATTTTTTCTCAATTCAAATTTCATGTGAATGTCATTAGTAAAATCAATTTTTATTTTAACTTTGTCAAACAAAATTGGTAATAAAAATAAATAATAATTATATATATAATAATAACTAATAATAGTTATAATAATAATAATAATAATTAATAAAAAGCACTATTAGGATGCATGTAAAAAAATATTAGAATGCACTTAATGATGCACGTGGAAATTCTTTTTTTCTTAAAAAAAAGAAGTCTTAATATAACGAATTACAATAAAAACATGTTTTAAACATTCAGCTAAATTAAATTTGATTAAAGATTGAAAGAGAATTATAGAATATTTTTCTTTTTATAAAATGTTTCTTTGCAGTTTTGGCTTTCACCTTATTTCTTTCGCCTAATAAAACCTTTGTTAAGATTGACAAAAAGAAATGACAAGAAACCATGTTGACTACGAAAAAAATGATGATCTTTAAAAGTTATACTTCAAGTTATCTCTTTACCAATATCTCTTTGTAACTAAAGTTACTTAACAATATTTTTTAATAGCTTATAACATTTTATTTTTTTTATTAATTAATTTACTTTTGCTTAAGCTGTTTCTTATTAGTTGTATTTTAGTAAATTTAAACTTTTTTTCTTTAGTTTCAGGTAAAATACCCCGAAAAAATTATTAAATTGAACTACTGATTATTATAGCGGACAATTCATGTAGGAAATAAAAACTGTTTCAGTCGCCTACAGGGCGACTAGGAAAAAATCTGAGGGTGCACTCCTGCATTATAGTTGTCTTTGAAGGGTAACACTCCTCTATTTTATTGTTTTCTAGGGTACCATAAAAGGCCACTTACTCTAAATGTGAACAAAAAACAATAAAGTTTTTATACTGTTTTGTTGGTCTGTGTTTTAAATGACCTTCTACATAATCCAAGTGCAAACTTTACTCTGGATGAAACAATTTTTGTGTGATCTAAAACAGATTAATAATAATTTGGACAATAAGCTTATAATTAAAAACAATTTAGGTATTGTGTAGTTTAGAGTGAAAACTGTATGATGGTTTCATAATTACTTTTGATTTGTATTTAAAGGTATTTATCATGGTTTTTTTTCTTTTGACTGTTCAAAAATTTTAGATAATTAAAAAAAATTATAATGGATGAGGTGTTTCATTATTGCTGCTTTAATTTTGCTTTTTTAAAACCTTGCAAATTACAGATGTGAGTAATATTTGTCAATAGTTTGAGGCAGCTAATCTCTTTTTTTGAAAACTGGCGAGGTGTTAGTTGATTTCCGAAAGATAAGAAAAGTACAACTTAAAAGAGTTTAAGAGAAACCATTGTGGCAATTGTGTAGTGGATGACAGTGGATACTGTCACCACCCAGGGTATTGTATGAATTATAATTTTTTGAGAGAAGAGTGATTGAATAAAAAGATGTTAAATGTTCTTGAATTAAAAATTAGAATTGGATAATAGAATATTTTTTTAAAAACTAAATAAAAGTTAGTTTAAATTTATTTAAAACTGAATTTAGTTTAGCTTTTTTACAATTTGAGCTTGGTTGTAAACCCTAGAATAGTTCAGAAGAGTTTATACTTTGGTTACTTTAAAAGCCTCTGGAAAATTACAATTTTTGAAAGAAAACTCTAGCTCTGGTATTCTTTAATCTATTTTTGCTAAAAATATATTTTATAAAAAAATTTCAAGTTATAAAATGTCAAAAATTAACTACTTGTTACATTTAAGTTGTTCAAAAATAAAATATGAAATTTATTGAGTAAAAAATTGTATAATACATTGTTCTTTAATAGTAAATTTTACTAAATATGAAATTTATTGAGTAAAAAATTGTATAATACACTGTTAAAAAAATAGCGCGTTTTTTACGGAAAAGTTCCGGCAGCTGCCGATGACCAAACTACCCGTTATTTTATGGAAAAACCATTGTATGTAAATGCAAGTTTCCGTTAACAAACAGATTTTTTCTGTTAAAATACAATGGGTTTTTTCTGATAAACAATGGGTAGTTTAGTCATCAGCAGCTGCCAAAACATTTCTGTAAATAAACAGATACTTCCGTTTAAATTTAACAAGTTTTTTCTGTTAAACAACAGAAAGGCAACTCAGCTGCCGTATAGTTTCTGTAAATAAAAGTAAAATTTAAATAAATCATTTCTAGCAAATCTTATATATATATAAAATCAATCGCATGTTTTTGAAAATATTTTCTGAAAACAAGTTTTCTTTGATTTACATAAAAAATATTAAAATTTCCATGATTTACATTTCACTTCAACAGCAAATACAAATAAAAAATTAGTAAAGTAATAAACACTTTTTAAAAAATTATTAACAATTTTGATAAAGTATATACAAGCAAATAATAATATAATTATATTACATATTCCTATATACATTTACAATATACAGTCACGATCAAAAGTTTAGAACATTGTATAAAAAAACACAATCTCATTCAATTATTTATTTATTTTATCAAAATATATTAGTAACCATGATAATTGACAAAAATAATAACTTTGAACTATTAGTAAAGGTTTTATGAATTTAATACTTGGATTTAATATTTGGTATGGTGTCCTTGAGCTTTCAAACAATTAGCTAGGCGGTTAGGCATAGAATGAATGAGTTTTCTCAAATATTCAGGAGTCATAAGTTGAGTCCATACCTACTTAATTTTTCTTTGAAGATCATTGGAAGATGATGGTCGCAGTTTCTGGACTTCGTTTTTGAGACAGTTCCAGCAGTTTTCAATGGGATTGAGGTCCAGTGAATTACCAGTCCAGGGGCCAATCACCTCAACCCCATTCTCACGTAACTAACTGCTTACAAGCTTGGCCCTGTGACAGGGTGCTCCGTCATGCTGAAACTTGTGGGTATTCGTGAATAATTTAAGTTTTTCTTGAAGTATATCAAGATAAACATGGCTATTTATTGTGGTGTTTGGAGGCATAAACCATGAACTGCTACTTTGATTTGCTGTAATGGCACCCCATGAAATTTCAGAAGCACTGGCAAATGGATATGCTTTTGCATAATGATGCATGTGATTATCTGCCCTTTGAGTAGTTACCTTTGGTCCTCCAGTTCTAGCTTTGCTTTTAAAATCACCAGTTTCATGATATCTCTTTAATGTTTTTATAATACAGCTATGTGCTACATTAAAACATGCAGCAATAGAAGTCAGTGTCAATCCTTGTTCACGTAGAATAACAATCTGAGCACGTTTTTCTGTTGTTAATTCATTAGTTCTTCCCATAATTATTATTTTAATTTTTTGCTAAAATAACAACTATGACTAAAACAAATTTAAATGTTTATAACATAAATTATGCATGCATATAATAATAATACTCAAAATTTTCAATTAAAAAAAACATATTTAAACACATTTTTCAAATTTTATGAAAATTTTTTAAATGTTCCAAACTTTTGATCGTGACTGTAGATATACTCATAAACTTATCTTTAAGTAATATATATTGGCTAAATAATAAATATAAATATAAGTAAATTGATCCAAATACACAAAAGTACAGTCTTTCCTTTCTTTTCCATTTCGAGTCAACTCTAAATCTAAAACAAAAAACAAAAAATTTTTGAGTAAGGAAAGATTTTAATATTTAATAAAGTAATAAAATATAAAAAACACTCATTATGTGCAATGGTTACCTTAAAGTTGTTACTCAATATGAGTGATTTAACTAAGATCAAGCAACAAATAACTCTGGGTAAAGTTAAAAACTCTTTTGAGCAATAAATAAATACCTACAAGAAATAAATACTTAAATTGAAGTATGATACAAATAGAGGTTTTGAAGTGGAATATAACCAATCTCAGTTTTTTTTTCAATGTAATGGTGATAACTGAATTTCCTGTTAATGCCAATGTTGGCGCCATTTTTGTTAAATAAATAAAAATCTTTACAACTTCTTTAAAATCAAATTCCAATAATTAATTACTAAATTTACTAACAAAATAACTCAACAATTTAACAATAAAACCCAAATTTTCTTTTCTATAATGAAAACTTATCAAATTATTATTTTTATTTAATATAAAACCATTTCAATAATCAAATTTAAAATTTAATAGTAAAGATACTTACTTAGGTCTAACCTTTAGCAAGCTAAAAAAAATTATAAAACATAACTATAATATAATAGAAAATCAAAAATTTATAAATAAAATAATTTTTACCGATCTGGTCCATTGTCATTGCTAATAAAATAAATATATAATCAATAAAAAACCTTTTATCATTTTTAAAAAAAGAATAAACCAAATTTCCTAAGAAATTTACTTTGAAACCTTTGGATTTTTATTACATATCTTTTAACTTCATGTTTATGATTGCTATTTAATCAAGGATCTTAAGAGTCCTCTAATTGAAAGAATATGTGAAAGAAGGATCTTGTTAGGATCTAAGAATTTTATATAATCCTCAATCTTTAAAAAGTAGTATGAATAATAACTTATTTTGCATACCATCTTAAACAGCGATGATAAATTTAGCTATTGAAATAACTTGTATGCTTTTTACAATAATTGAAAATATAACGTAGAAGACAAAAATAAGCTAAACAATAGTAACATAGTAACAACAATTTAGATTAGTCATAAAAAATCAGAAAAAATTTTAACAAAAAAAAATTGCTACATGGAATAAGTTGTAATAAATCAATTTAGTGTCAAGAAATCAATTTGTTTGAAGCTACTAACAAAAGATCACTTAATTTACATATCGTGACCTGAGTGCTTATTTATTTCAAGTCCATTTTAAAATGTTAAAAGAACTTTTCCGTGTTTTTATTATTTTAACTTTTTTTTCTTATAAATAATTAGAAAATATTATTTGCTATTAAAATTTAATAGCAAATAATATTTTCAATAGTTATTAATAAAATTTAAAATTTATTACGTTACCTTTAAAAGATAACTAAATATTTTCTCCCAACATTTTAAAATGGAGATAGAATAAAGCAAAATAGAAATAAACACTTGGGTCGCGATATAAACTATTAATCTATTCAGTGTTGAAATGGTAATTATTTCAACTGGATTATTTTTTTGATTTTTCTATAACGGTTTTTTTTTACTGGTTTTTCTAAAGAGGTTTTTTCCGCTGGTTTCTCTAAAAAGGTTATATCCACTGGTTTTTCTAAAATGTTTTTTTATACTGGTTGTTCTAAAAAGGGTTTTTCCACTGGTTTTTCTAAAAAGCCACAAAAAAAAATGAATTAAATAGTTTATTTAATTACTTGTAATTTTTGCTAAAAATAAATATAACACTATCAATAATTTCCACTATCCTGGCTTAGCAAAAAGGTCTGGAATCCACAATCTTTACTTGTAATTAAAAATGAGGTCCTATAATAAATGTTCATCAAAATAACAGTTGTCTTGATCCCAACAATTTTCCTAAAATGGTTCCTCCTGTTCTTTGATGTTCTTTGATGACTAATTATTTTCAATGTTTTTCTATAAGCTTTTAAAGTAGACAAAGTAATTCCAAACCACAAAATGGGTTTTTTGTTTTATTTTTTTAACAAATTAAGTAAACTATTTTTGTTTTTTTTTTTCAACTTCTTTGCTTTCAAAAAGGCTGCAAGCAACCACTATTAGAGATGGAATTTACTGGAAGAAAAAAATGAAGTTTATAGAGCAAGATAATAATTGACAAACGACTTGAAAGATTCTAAATTATATGAATCAGGAAAACAAGATGAAGGAGGCAAATTCCAAAGAACTGATGTTTGTGGAAAAAAAACTAGGTGAATAAGAGTTTTTAGAGCATTTAGGAATAGTCACAGAAAAAGGATGAGATTTAATTGGATGACGAGTTACAAGAGAATGAATTTTATTAGAAGGCACAAGAGATGCTAGTTCTTTAGAGCAGTGCCTTTTATAGTATTTGTAGAAAAGAGAAAGAGAAGCAACATACCACCATGTGATAATGGTTGTAGGTTTGCTTCAAGAGCAGGTCCAACTATGTTTACAATGTGTTTTTGCACCTTGTCTAAAAGAGAAAGGGCATCGTTGGAAGATCCGCCACAGATATGGCATCAGCATTCCATACAATGACAGATTTGAGATTTATAGAGATAAAGAAAAGAATCCTGAATAAGAAAGTGTCAAGCACAATAAAGAGATGCAACCTTAGCAGAGGCTAATGTTTTAAAGAGCAATGTTCCACAGATCTCTTGAATTTTTTAAGAAAATTTAAATCTTTACAAATATCAATATGATTTTTAAAACAAACCAACACTCAACAACTCATTTATTAATAGAAAGTAATTTAAACTCATTTATTAATAAAAAGTTATCTTGAGCAGATATTTTTAGTTTTTTTTATAATTTTACCATGTCTGTTTATATTAATTTTTAAAATGATAGCTTAGTATAAGATCTTATTTTTTGTTAGTTAAGCCAAGAATCTTCAATTTTAAGAAGTAGTTATTTAAACAAGTAAATAAGTATAAATGGGCAAGAAATTCAAATATTAAGTTCAAATGTAAGGGGTAAAATAAAAAGTTTATCGGTTTCACTTTCTCAAGTTTATTGGTTTAACTCTCACAACTTCATTAGTTTTACTTTCACAAGTTAATTAGTATTAGTTTCACAAGTTATTTCACTTTAGTGTCTTTTAATAAAATTGTTGCTGAATAATTGCTAGTTATTTGTCTATCTTATTGATTGAGCATTAAATACAAAGTGTATGTTAAAACCTTCTAATACAATCCAAGATTGTTGATAACAACAAGTTAATGAAATTAACTTGTTGTTATCAACAGTTAATCAAATTTTTATTTTTATCTATCCTAATTGAAAAGCAGGTAAGCTCAGCCCAAGTATTTCAACAGCATCTTCTTTATGATATCTAAAATTCTCTACAAGAAAAATTATTTAACAACTAAAGTTGTTGCATTATAAAGATAAATGGTAGTAAAAGTTCGTAAACTTTTCTGTTAAAATGGCTGCCATCACAACTAATCTTAGTAGAAAATTGTAAAGAAGTATGAATGTCTGAAAAAATTTAAGGAAAATAAATTTTACACCAAAATCTTTACATCGAATTTCTTATATTTCATACAAATATTTTATCATTTTCTGATTTTTTCAATGACAATTTTTCCAATGAGCATATGGCTATGTTCTTTGATGAGTATATTTGTCAATATTTTTTTTTTTCTGTTAATTTGTGGAAATTTAGCATAAATATTGTTTTCATATTTTAGAAAAAGCTTACATTCCTCTGTATAAAAATGATTTTAATCCTTGCGTTGGGCAACCAATCGTTACCATATTACCTATAGATGAGGATTTTTCAGCTGAAAAAATAAAAGCTTATGTTGGACCTGTCGCTCCTGCAAAGGTTTGTTTAATTTTGTTGATCTCTAGGTGACAACAATATTTCAGTTATTCTATTATGTGCATTAATTTTTGAACTAAAACTAAAAAAAACTAAAAATGTAAATACTTTCGTTTATTTTCAAGTATTTAATCATTTAATCATTTCTAAAATTCATAATTAAAAATAGACAAAAGTTATAAACTTTGTAAAAATGAACAAAAGTTATAAACTTGGTTACAAAATCTAGTATTAAAAATTTATATGAAGGAAAAAAGTGAAATATTTAACATTGTTATAACATTATATACGATTAAAACCGTCATTTTGAAAAGTGCAAAAGTCACATTTTTTTTCAAAATTCACTTTTTTGAGCCATTTTATTTATTGAAGTGTGTTACATGTTGTCTTTAAAAAGGGAAGTGTGTTACATTTTGTCTTTAAAAAGGAAAGTGTGTTACATGTTGTCTTTAAAAAGGGAAGTGTGTTACATGTTGTCTTTAAAAAGGGAAGTGTGTTACATATTGTCTTTAAAAAGGGAAGTGTGTTACATGTTGTCTTTAAAAAGGGAAGTGTGTTACATATTGTCTTTAAAAAGGGAAGTGTGTTACATGTTGTCTTTAAAAAGGGAAGTGTGTTACATGTTGTCTTTAAAAAGGGAAGTGTGTTACATATTGTCTTTAAAAAGGGAATTGTGTTACATGTTGTCTTTAAAAAGGGAAGTGTGTTACACGTTGTCTTTAAAAAGGGAACTGTGTTACATGTTGTCTTAAAAAAGGGAAGTGTGTTACATGTTGTCTTTAAAAATCATCATATATCATAAGTAAACTTTTAACACAAATCAAAATATGTCTGTTTAAAATGCACTAGTCCTGGACTTATGCCTCCTTCACATGAAGTGAAACGCGACTGTCAAATGTGACTTTATTAAATACAAAAATGCTTATAAATCTTGAAAAAGAGTTTCTGATATAACTAACAGTAAAAATTATAATCAAAATCAAATAAAAAAAAGCTAAAATTGCTGGAGAAGCTCATAAAAACTACAAAGGGTATAATGTTGCACTAAGAAATATGGAAGTGTCTTGCAGGTTAGTTTTTATTTTTTCATTAATAATTTTTCATTTAAATTATTTGTTTTACCACCAATAATTGGTGGTAAATCATTATCTCCAGTTAATATTATAATTATGTCACTTCCTCAAAATTATGTTTGTCATTTTCTTTATTTACAGATGTAATTTAAAATCTATAGTGCTTATATCTGAGTGTAGAAGTTATGAAAAGTACTTCACAGTTTGTTAACAAATTTGATAGCAAAAATGTCCTGGACACATAGTTGCAGTCATTTGAAGGAAAAAAGAAAATATTTAAAAAATGGCCTAGATCTGAAGCAAAAAGAGATTAACTTTATTTATCACACAAGATAAACTGTTTTCGAAAAAAGTTGTGCAGTATAGCATTTTGCAGTATGCATGGAATTTCTATGAACAATTTAGATATTTTTTTTTTTGTTTTTTTTCTAAAAGGGATTCCAAAGTGTTGAGACAATTTGTGTTCATATGTTAATTAAACCTTTTTTGTTTTGGCATTTGACAATGCTGACCTGACAGTGTCTGAGGTTGGCAATTTTTTGCCGACCTCAGAATTTTCAAAGTTATAAATAAATTAAATGAATAAATTAAAAACAACAAAACAATTGCTTTATTTAAATTTTAAATAAAACAGTCAAAATAAAAACCGCAAAATAAACTTTTTATTTAAATTCTAAATAAAGTTATAATAAAAACTAAAAAAAAATAAAGTTATAATAAAAACTAAAAAAATGAACATTTTTTTAGTTTTTTCATTAAAATAAAAACAGCATCACAAATGTTTCATTTAAATTTTAAATAAAATAATTAAAAAAACAACAACAGGAATACAAAATTTGTTTCAAGTTCTAAACAGTTTAATTTGAAAAAACAACATTAAAAAGTATGTTTTTTTTTAATTAAATAAATCATTTGTTTATATGTTATATATTTTAAATGAATTTATTTTTATTTTAATTACTTTATTTAGAATTTAGTTTAATTTTAAAAAACTTTAAATAAATTTAAAATAAATAGTTTAAGATAAAAATGATTCAAGATGCTAACTTTTAGAAAATAAAAAAATAATAAAATGAATGTTTTTATTAAATGCTAACTAATAATAATAATAATCAGGGTTTGAAAAAAACCAGACAAACTTGAAAAAAACCGGGCCGGGTGGTTTTTTTCGGACTTTTTTGGGCTTTTTCAATTTTTAAAAGCATTTCTACTTCTATCCAATTTCTATCCAACGGACCAACAGGTAATGCATATGGGAAAAAAGAATAAGAATGGGGCCTGGAATAAAGAAGAGATAAATGATGCAATGTTTGCTATGCTCAATAACATCCTAGAGTGTTGAGTCTAAGACTTGGCTTCTTCAGTCTAAGGTGTTTTACTTTTACTAGACTCTGACTCTGAGTCTTGCCTAAAATAAAAAAAAGTTGATTAGATAAGAATGAATGTAGTAAATTTTTAATTTAATTATATTTATTTTTAATTTAATATTTAATTTAATTTAATTAACAATAAAATTTGTTTTATTTTTGTATCTTTACAGAAAGATATCAATATAAGGTTCTGTACTTTATTATATTTAATAAATATATATAAAATTATTAAAATAAAAAATAAAATAAAAAAGTTGAATCAACTGATTGATGAAAACTTGTTTGATACAAATACAAGCGGAAGATCTCATAAAAAGGGTAATTAAGTATATATTTACTTATTAATTTATTTATTCATTCATGTATTCATTTGCTACCATAGTACCATTAAATAATCAGGCTAATTATTTTTTGTTTTTTTTATTTAGACTTTTACCAGCCTAAGAATAAAGTCAATATGCCAAAAGCTGAAGGAAGTGGAAGAAAGATTTCTGAAGAATGTAGACATGTAACAAAAATAGATGTTTCAAGCAAAGTGAAGTGCAAATACTGTGAATGTGAAGTAAGTGGAAAAATAACAAGAATTAAGGCACATTTGAAAAAGTGCTCAAGAAGTGATTCTTCTACATCCATGGATAAATCATTGAATTATGAAGAATGAAATGTAGATTTTCAGGTTCCATCAACAAGTTTAGCTTCACCATCGAATCCCAGTCCGACTACATATTCTAGAGTAACTACACCTTCCAAAGCTACGTAATTAACACAAGGTAGTAAAAAAAGACGCTTGCAAACCACAATGAATGAGTTTTCAATAAAAACTACAGCTGCTCAAAAAGAAATTTTGGATATGAAAATGGCCAGATATTTCTATGCTAACAACATTCCTTTCAACACCAGTAGCAGTAAGACGTTCAAAGAAATGGTAGAAGCTCTGCGGCCTGGATACAAGCCACCAAATCCTGAGTCATTAGGTGGTTCATTACTGAACAAAGTTAGTGAAGAAGTAGATACCAAGTTAAAGCTTGAACTGCAGCACAGTAACTGCTGCATTACACTTCTACAGGATGGTTGGTCAAACGTCCGAAATGACCCAATCCTTGCTTCGTCCATACACACGGGTTCCAAGGCTTTTTTATTGGAAGCGGTAGATTGTGGCCATGAAAAAAAGACGGTCGAATTCTGTGCTGAGAAAGCAATTCAGTCCATCAAAATGTCAGAAAAACAGAAAAGAGGTAGGCTAAGTTCTTTTGTTTTTCAAAACAATAGCATTGTAGCAAAGATGTTAACATTTTAGGTATGCATAAACTCATAAAACTTTGCTTCTCTTAAGTTATATATGTAAAAATATGTTACTTTTTATAGTTTTAAGTAACATAATGCTATGAAGTATCACTAATCACGATCCTGTACCATACTTTGAACTTTCAGGTGTTTGCTCTTTGCACAGACAATAAGAATAAAATGAAAAAAATGAAGGAAATTGTTCAACAATCATACCCCAACATATTGATGTTTGGTTGCGCAGCTCATTTAATGAACTTAGTTGAGAAAGATGTCACACCTCAGACAGTTTTGAAGCATATTGTAGAAGTGCAGAAGTACTTCAGGAATGTACACCAACCTCATGTAAGAACAAACAAACATGGAACTTTGTCTTGTCATTCTGTTAAAAAATAAGCCTTGGTTGCAAGCTACAATTGTTGACCTTGCTAAATTAATAAATTAGGTCTTTAGATATGAAGCAATTTATTATACATTGTAATTGTTTAGTTTTAGTATAAGTATAGTTTCTATGATTGAATGGTAATTTACTTTTTTTCTACCTCATTGCTCATAGGGATGGCTGAAAGAGAAAAAGGACCTCATGCCACAGTTACCCAATGAAAGTCGTTGGAATTCACAAGCCGAGTGTGTGAGAACATTTACTTCAAATTATCACCTTTATCTCGAAATTCAAACAGAACATACAGAACATTTTAATGACAGCATCAAGAAAATATTGGATCACATCAGCATATTCAGGGAGGCGACGCAACTTATAAAACAACTGGATGCTGTTGCAGCAGCTTTAAATAAGGTACCAAGACAAAATATTCTTTTAAATACTAAATTGCTAACTTAATAAAATAGTTTTCTTTATGCTCTAATTGTAATTGGTGATTGACACATGCTACATTTCCATTTAGCTGCAGGCAGATACAACAAAGTTGTCTGATTGCGTGGATATATGGCTGGATATAATTGAAAACCCTGATTTGGAGAACTATGGTCAGTTTTTTAGAAAACGCTTCTTAGAAACTATGCAGCCATTTCATTATTTAGCCTACATGCTAGATCCAAGGAAAAAAAGCAGGCTAATGAGAAATAACAAAGATAGCTTAACAAAACATATAAGGTATTTGTTCTGAAATGTTTCTAGTAAATATATTTTTTGGACAATTTAAGGCTAGTCTTGTTAATAACATTTGGTCCAAGACAAGAAATCGTTTGGGCACAGAGAAAGTGGCAAATCTTGCCAAAGTGTATCGCCACTTGCGAGAAGCAAATGATGATCGACTGTTATAAGTATTGTTTATCAGTTGTTCAGTAGTTTAGTAGTGCATTAAATTTAATCAAATCAATTGCGTAATTATTTTCCAATTTATATGGTATTTTAAAACAAATTCAACAAAATTTGAAAAAGACCACTTGTGAAAAAATCCATTGTTTTTTTTCGGGTGAAACCGTCCGAAAAAAACCGCTGTTTTTTTTTGGCCCGGGCCCACTTCCCGGAACCCTGATAATAATAACAACAATAATAATAATAATAATAAGCAATAGAAAAACTAACGTTTTATTCAAATTAAAAACAAGACAGTTAAAATAAAAATGGAAAAACAAATGTTATATTTAAATAAAAAACAAAACAATTGAAAAAAAAAAAGAAAACAAATGTTTTTATTATTTCTGAAAAAAATGATTAAAATTAAATTGGAAAAACTAATGTTTTATTTTTTGTCAAATTTTTAAACAAATGCAGATATTTGCATTTCCACATATTCCTATGTGGAAATGCAAATATGTCCAGGAGATTTTTTATCTTTGTTAACAATGGGATATTTACACAGTTAATGGTCATATATATTATTGCACATATGATCTTAAAACTTGTTAAGAAGTTGTTAACAAAGATCTTAATAAAGTATGTACTGAAGTTATCCTGGATTATAATAAAAAGTATATTGGCAGTGATGCCTAAAAACTGCACATACTTTCAGATGGTTTTGTCAAACAGAATCAGAATCATGTCATGGTCCAAGAGACAAAAAAAGTCCAGAATTTCAAGTTATTAATATCTATATGATGTATATATTTTTTATGATAAATATGTTTGTTTATTTATCTACTCCAACATTTAGTTTCATGAGTAACTTTATTTATAAAAAACGTATTTTTGTTGATTCTGAAAAGTTTGAAATAATGGACTTATATACTTTTCAAAATGACAGGTTCAGTTATTGCCGTTTGTTAGACAAAATAAATCGAAGCAAAATTCTCTTGTTCTTTTTACAGACATGATAAAGATGTTGATTGCCCATTCTGCACTCTGATTTGTTCTAGGAATTTCCAGTCTCAAGGTTCTGGCTTCCAAAACTTTTTCATGTTTAATGCTTTTTTTTGTTATTAAATGATAAATAACTTAAAAAAAAAATTTCTTTTATGCTTATTAACAAAAATAGAAAAGGCCATTAGTGCATTTTGCTTATCAAGTTTTACATGAGGTCTACTCTAAAAACCATATTATTTGTATTTGAAAAGAAAGGTTATTGTATTAAAATAGTTTCTTACTATTTTGTTAAAATTTCTAAACTGATTTTTTTTTTTTAACAAAAATCTAATTTTTTGTTTGTTATTATTACATCTTGTTTATTTTTAAATGAATCCTAAAAAATATGACTAATAGTGATTATGATTTATTTTGGTTTTGAAATGTTTGAAGAAAAAAAGAAACTAGTAAATAGCTATATAAAATTATATACATATAAGCTTTTGATAGAGCTACACCATTTTATAATAACACTCTTGATTCTTGCAAATTTAAAGATAAGATACATCATCTTAACCCTGTGTGTTCACTCAACTTTAGAACAAACCTAGCAAAAATATTTTTGGGTATATTTGTTAAATTTCAAGTTCAGAGTTCTCTTTTAGATGCAATTGATACATGAAGCCTTTCACATTCTTCTTCATACTTATTTGGTTAATATAGCAGTTCTATAAATAAATGCAAAAAATAACTATCAAGAGTATCAAGAATTTTATCAAGAGTATCAAGAATTTTATCACTTCTTTAAATTGTAATAGACTATCTAGTACTTCAATCGCATAATATACTGTTGTTCAACACATTTAGAAGCCATTTTGTTTTTAATGTTTTTATTACTTATCAACAATCTCAACGTTTTTACAAAAAATTTGTTCACTATTTATAGTATTTAAAAATTCAACTTGTGACTCTTGTCAACAATTAGTGGTCGTTATACAAAACGTTATAATAATAAAAATATGCAACATGTGACTTTTGTCAAAAATTAGCAAAGCTAATTATTGACAAATTATTGACGCACATTGAAATCACAACATAAACCTTATGCAATAGCTAATAGAAAAAACCACTTCATGCTCACACATTTGAAAATGCATTAGAAAAAGCATTATTTACATTTTCAATGTAAAATCTTACCTAGAACTTTTCACCTAAGTATTATCATGAAATCTCATTTCTTTATGTAAGTAAGGCCAACTCTACTAAACTTATGAAATTAGTATGGGAGTAAAAAAAAAATAATTTAAACCCTATCTTTACCTATATTCTGGAATATTCTTTACCAAAATGGAGCCAATTAAACCTGGTAAGTTATTTTTTAACAAAATAGAGCGAATTAAATCTGGTGAAGTTATTTTGTATTTGGTTTAAGCCTATTATGAATAAACAGGATGACCTAATGGCACTTTGTGTTTAGCTTTTTAACTTTCTTTGTCTTTTTTTTAATCCTTTTTTTTTTGTTATCATGCTTCTTGGTATTTTCATATATTTTTTTTTTATAAATGGTTAATTGATAAACTTCTAAAAACAAATCATTGAGTTACTTGAATTCTTGGAATCCTACCACCCACCTTAAGTACTTAAACAAATTTTGTCTCAATTAATGATAGGCTATACCTAAATTCTTCTGATGAAAAAATATTTGTTATAAAAACTAGAATGCAAAGAAGCACTTAACCAATAGAGTTATAAAAAGTTCAACTTAAATTACAACCCAAAAAATAAGGCAACACCTATTAGAACAAGAAAACAAAATTTTGTTTGGTTTAATCCTTCATACATCAAAAGCATCGCCACTGCACAATCTATTTAATAGAAACACCACTAATATAGCTTGCTTACAGCTGCTTGAACAATATTTCAAAAATCATAAAAAACCACAACAACAACAACAACAACAAAATATAAATTTACTTTGTAATTGCAAACTAAAGAATATCTGCCAGTTGAACAAAAATTGTAGAATGACAAATATAATGTACAAATGCACATTATCTTCCCCAAACACAAGCCTTATAAAGAGACACGTGCACGTCTTATATGACCACACATATAATAGAATAAAATAAATAAAAAATAAACCAGAAAAAACTAAAACATAAAATTAATATGTATTATAATATATAATAAATTAATATAGCAAAAAATTGATATTTTAAAGTTATTTAATCCAAGCTTAATTACTTCAAAACTTAATTATTTCAAATTTTTAAACTTTGTCAACCAAGCGAATGAAACATAAAAAAATTTATCTTTTGGAAGACTTTGAACCCTAGATCAATGTCAATATAACGTCAATCAACGTGGCAAATAGTTTTGAAAAGCAAAAGCTCCAGAGAACACTTCTGCAAGGCTGTAACAGGTGTGTTGCTCGGACCACAAACTGTAGAAGAGTCTAAACAGGAAATCTTTTTAGATACAGAAGCTGGAGTGATACGTTATATGTGTATATATATATATATATATATATATATGTGTGTGTGTGTTTGTTTGTATAGGTGCTTGTTATTTATTAATGCAGATTTGGCCAATTATGAGTTTTGTTTTAAAAATTGAATTAGAAAATAATATTTAAAATGGAAAAGTTCATTCCAAATTATTCTTTTAGAAAATAATTTATGTTTTGTGTTTTTTTCTCATAAAAAATCCTTTAGAAGCAACTTTTAAAATTTGATGACAGTTTTGTGTTAGTGCTAAGCATTAAAAAAATTTTCATTTCATTTTCTGATTATAATTTTAGGCTATTCAGGTTTTTACAGTTTGGAAAACGCAAAGAAAATCACCTGTGGCTTTATCAGATATTGATAAAGGCTTAGAGCGAATTGGACGGTTTAAATTTTTTATATGCATTTAAAATATTATATTTAAAGTTTGTTTTTAATGTATTGTTTATACAATTATATGTAACACCACTAGCATATGTAACACCGTTAGCGTATGTAACACCACTAGCATATACGACACCTCTAGCATATGTAACACCATTAGCATATGTAACACCATTAGCATATGTAAACTACAACCATATGTAACACTACTACCATATGTAACACTGCTACCATATGTAAAACCGCTAGCATTTGTAATACCACTACCACATGTAACACCACTAATATTTGTAACACCATTGGCATATGTAACACCACTGGCATATGTAACTTAGTTACATATGCCAGTGGTGTTACATGCTAGCTCAACCAAAAAAAGCTAAAGAGTTAATTTTTTAAATTTATGTTTTGTTTGTACATTGTTTTTTTTTGCAGAGATATTGCAGACAAAGAAAATGTTCCATTTACAGAATATTGGACATTTCTCAATGGTTTCTATAATTTGGCAACTAAAAAAGGTCTTGAAAAGTTAGAAGAATATTTAAATTTCAAGTCTGAAAATTCAATAAATCAGTCTGAAATGAGCTCGTATGAACTTAAAACTTCAGAAAAATTTCTGGAAAAAAATGAAACAAACTTAAAAGACAATATCAAACGAAAGCTTACTTTTGAGGACGAAATCTCTGATAATAAACATTTTGAAGAAGATTTTGATAATTCTTATAATGAATCTTTAGAGCATAACGATTGCTCTATTGATCTTGATTTTAAAGATTTGAGTGTTCTTTTTAAAACTTTTACTAAAAGAAATATAGAACCAAATATATCAACCAATGAAAATGAACTGAATCAAGACAAGCTACCTTCTCCAGTAGAAAAGCCAGTTAACAATTCTTATAAAAATGTTAAAAAAAAAAGTCAGAAAGTTTTTATAGATGGGTTTGTTTTTTTATTTTTTTAAGTACAATTTTTGTCATTTTTTTTCTTTATAAAATTAACAAAAAAAGTATTATATATCATAGTGATATTCCCACCAAAGTTGATCTAGATGTATTCCGCGCAATTAAAGATGTTGTTATAGAACCTCTGCAATATCCTAACATCCACCACTGGAAATCTTACATTGAGTCTTACTCAGATACTTCAAAATTAAGGTGAGCAATTTTTCAATTTCAAAACTTCAATATTAAGGTGAGGCCTGGTACTGTTAGTGAAATTATAGGGTTGTAGTGTTAAGGTTATTTTTAATTAATTTTAATGTTGCTTTGAACACAACTAATGTATTGAAGTAGTCCGCTTCTTAAGTAGTTTTTTGTTCAAACTGTTAATAAAAGGAGGTAGGAAATTTTTTTATATTACAATATAAGTATTTTTACTAAAAAAGTTAAGTTTATAAATTCGAATTAATATTTTATATTTTTAAAATTATAATAACTATAATTCTAGCATGGCTTGTGGTGAAATGCATATTTTTGAACAGCTGTTTTATCATAATTTCAATAGGATTTAATATGCTGATATAAGTTTTATACTTTTGTGAGAAATAAATCAAAAGTTCATTTTTAAAAAATCAAGATTTACTAGGTCGGCGATTTTTAAAGCCTGTTTAAAAAATTATTTTCTTATTTTTTTTTTTTAGTTTTGAGATATGAAGCTTTTGCTAACAACAAGTAAAAATTAATAAACATGGGGAACTTAAAAAATTGGAAGTAGGTGGGAAAATTTTCTAAAAAAATTATAAAACTTCCCCCCCCCCCTCTCCTTTTTCCCATTAAGGACTTGAGAGTAATCAATAGAAATCATTTTTAATGAGAATAATAAAGATTAAAAAAAATGTGTTACCTTTATAATAAAAAGTTTATTATGATATAATTTAATATCAACTATTATATTTTTTTTCATTATAATAGATTTTTGTTGGTTTTATGCATATATAGTTTAATTTATGCATATATAGTTTTTAATAAAAAGTCTTCAGTAAACTTCCTGAGTTTTTAATTAGCGCTATTTTTATTTGATTTCAATTTTATTTTGTTGAAAATAAGCTTGTATTGTGTAGTCACAAAGTTACATTTTCAAACAACAAAATTAAACTAATTGCCAAAAAAACATATTCAATATTTTATTCAATATGTATATATTTATGCATGTATGTGTGTATTTATTTAAGCATGTATTCATACATATACTTGCTTAAATACATACATACATGCATACATACATGCATACATACATAAATCGTGTATGTATGTATAAATAGAACATGCAAGGCTTAGAACCTAAAATTTATTAATAATCCAAAAACACCAAGATACATATGTCGAGATATGTCCTCAGGGCCGCCGAGAGTCGTTGCGCAGCCTGGGACAGCAATCCTGATTGGTGCCCTTATTAAAATTACCCTATATTTTAGATAAAGTTTCTGCTACCTGAGACAAACTGTTGTTTTTTTTGCTGCCCCCCTCTCTCTCTCTCTCTCTCTTGGCGGTCCTGTTTGTTGTAGTCGATATCTGTTTCGTGTCGTTTCTTTTTTTATCTTAACAAAGATTTTATTACCTGGAGCAAAAAAGTTGAAAGCCAAAACCGCAAAGAAATGTTTTATAAAAAGAAAGTTATTCTCTCTCAATCTTTAATCAAATTTAATTTAGTTGAATGTTTAAAACATTGTTTTTAATTTTTTGAATATTTTTCTTTATACTAAAACTGTTTTTTTTTTTAGAAAAAAAAATTTCCACGTTCATCATTAAGTACACTTTTATGATTTTTCCCATGCACTTTATTGTTTTTTATTTTATTAATTTTGTTTGACAAAGTCAACAAAAAAATTTAGTTTACAAATAAAAAACAAAAGAGATTCAGTGTTATTATTGATTTGACTACTCATTCACGTGATTCAAAAATGCAACTATAATGTTTTAAAAAATGATACAATATCATTTGAAATTTTCAAACTCATTTTGAATTGAGAAGAAATGAGCTTCAAAATGCAACAACGTTTAAACAACAGTAAAGTCCCACTTATAAATATTAAATCACGTGTCAGCTTTTTTTCATTAAGTATAATAAAATTTTGTAAAACACACCATAGTCTACTCATTATTAAACGAGGTGTATACTACTTTAAATGCTTTTTAAAGGTTTTTTTAAAATAATCGCAATAATAAAAATAAAATCTTTATAGTTCAAAATATGATTTTATTAACACACTTTTTTAAGTGACAAACTGTCTGTGCTGTTGACAGGCAATTTTTTTATTTTATTTTAGTCTCCCTCGGAGAAAACAAGTCGTCCTGTGCCACCAAATGACCATGAGGGTACATCCCTGATACTTTTTCTAACTTATATGTTTCAAATCATTGATAACCAGCTTATTATCCATTACTATTTGCTCCAGGTTCTTATTCTTTCCATTAGCTTTGAGTTCAAGATGCAGTCAAACATTTAATAATAAATCAAGCATTTTACAGCAATGTAAATGTTTTTAAGAAATTAAGAGAAATAACTTATGAAAAACCTGTAGGAAAAAGAAGAGCTTTAAAGTTGAAAAGAGATGAAACAGTTACAAACCTAATAATGTTGCATTATGGAATCTGGAAGAATCCTTGGTGCTGCGATCAGGTTTTTTGTTTTTGTTGTTGTTTTAATCTAAATTAAATTTTCCTTAAGTTTCCTCATGTAAGCAGCTGTTTTTCTATTGATGTTCATGATAATATTGATGTTCATGATAAAAGAGAACCAGGGAATCAGTTTCTGCATCTTACAATGGCAAGTAAGACTGATCAAATAATGAACAATATAAATTATTTAAATAACAAATTGTTTTTGGAAAATTATTTAAATAATTCAAACAATTTAAATAATTATGGTGTTAACAATTTCATTTGTTTTTAGTATAATGTAAAATGGTAAAAACGATGTCACCCATTCATTTGCTGATTTCCTAGTAACTAATAGTATAATACTATCATGTGTGTCAGCTTTTTTCTGATATTTCAGATAGGATACTTTCACACATTGTGCAAAATCCAAACTTAAGTATGTTCATACCTATGCCAAATGAGGAGAACTTGTAAAAATTTGGAATGGTAGAGGCCTGGAAACCTAAAAACTCTAAAATGCTTAAGGTATTTCTATACAATTAGACATTTTTTTTCTTAAAACATCTTAATTACAATTATAGTTAACATAAATTACAAATATAGGTCGAATGAAGACAAAATGAAATAATTTTTTTTTTTTTTCCAATACAAATAAAAAGTTGGTTTTGGTCCCAAAAAGGGGCTAAACCGATTACACGATTATTTATCATAGGGTGACTGTTAAACTTTGAAATTTTCAAAGTTGTTTTATAACAATGTAAACTACAATCTGTGCCACTTTCACGTTCAAACTATCAAAACTTGCAAAAATGTAGTCATTTTCATAAGAATTAGTGATTTACACAGTTTTACTTGCCTATTCAAAATTTCATAAGTAAAAATCTGAATAAGCGAGGCTCTTCAATGAGGATCATTTTTTAGCTTTATTAGTTAACGAACAATTGTGGACAATTCATAAAGTATAAGTAAAGATGTTATGTAAACGGTATAACCAAAGCAACAAAAAACACGTTCTGTGAAAAAACAGTTTAAAAAACATAAAGCAAAACAGAACTAACTCATGGGCTCCAGAACTATAAGGTTTGCATTCTTTAATGTCTTTTTTTTTTTAATATAAACTCTTTTTTTAGACTTCTTTACTTTTCCCTGTGTTTTTAAAATATTAGATGACTATATACAATGCATTAAAGTTCTATAATGGCCACTTTTTAATGAATTTTTTTCAAAAAAAACTTTTACGTGGAATACTAAAACAATCAAAAATATTTTTAATACAATTAATACTATCATTGAAACTTATGACGGCAGAACACACACCAATTGTAAATACTTTTCTGCTACAATAAGTATATTTAGGACTACGTGCTCATATAATTCCATTTAAACACTCATTCACATTTTGCGTTTAGTCATGGAGAAATTATTCTAGCGAGAGTCTTGACTTAATTCCTGAAAATTTATTTTTTTCAGTTATGCTAAGTACATAAAAATATTTGAAAACAAATTGAGATAAAATTGCACAAGAAATAACTTGCAATAAAGGTGTTATAATTCTTTAACATGATTGCTAAGGACGTTGCTAAGAGTAAAAATCTATACTAACATTAAGATAAGTTTAGATAACCTCGATTTCCTTCTTCTTCTTTTTTTTTTCATTTCGATGACAATTTAAGATTCTTTGATAAATTTTGATCTTAAAGCAATTGTAATTAAAAAGAAAATGAAAATATTAAGATATTCGTCTTTTTAATTGTATAGAAGTACCTTAACCACCCATTCCCTCTTCCCAAACGTAAGGGCACCGGTGTAGTACAATTTTTAGCTTTACTATCTTTAACTAAATTAAAATTTATCGACAGATTTTAAATTTCGTAAAAAAATATTTAAAAACACAAAGTTATGACTATGCAAATTTTCCGACCCATCCCCCCACTCCTCCCAAAATGAGGGAAATTGGAAAATTTAAAAAGATTTTAACTAAATTCATGTTAACGCTGATGAGCGGGTTTGATCTAAAGGCAAAATGGTGTTCTATAGATTCACTATTACGAGTAGTAAAAAGGTTTTGAAAATTATGTAAAATAAAAAAATTTTCTTTAAATATTAAAAAAACCTGTAGCAAAAAAAATTATACCATTTAAAGCTCTTATTTGAACAAAACCATGTTAATTCCAAATAAAAGAATTCGAATAATTTGTAAATCGCCTTAACTGCGCCGAGTGGCCATAACTATTATATAGTGTATATAGTTTTTTTAATATGTTTTTTTTATAGTTTCTATATTTTATATATACAGCTAAATCTTTCTTGCTCCAAAAACTTTTATTTCATGTCTATTAATTGGAATTTTTAAGTTTCGTGCTGCTCAAGTATTTTAATATCAATACTTTCCATCTATTTAAAAATTGGATTATGATCTACTGCAACAAGTCTGAACAACCTCATGTGAATTAATTTTGATTTTCACAAGCAGTAATTGAAATCTCTCTTATTCTCTACTGATTTCTGTTTCTTAAATTCCAAATGTTTTTTAATTTTAATATTTTCAACTTTATCAAGATGATAAATTCTTGAGTTTGCGACTGCTGATTGAAGTGTTGAAGAGCATATTTTGTACTTTACAATTGAACCATTTGAATGAATTAACCCATGTTTCCGACCTTAAAACGTTTTTCAGTGGGTGCAATCCACTGATTTTTCTTTTTCAAAAACTTATAATGCAAATTTATTATTTCTTCTAAACAAAACTTAAAGTAAGTTTATTATTTTTTTCATTTTCATAATGAAAAAAATAATAAACTTATATTGCCACTACTTAGTCAAGAGAAGCGTCAGGTTAACTTTTGTAGGGTGAGCAAGCGAGAATAAAATGTAAACATAAAGTTTAAACTCAAACGAAAAAATGACAGAAAAAAATTTACGTTCTCAAAATTTTTTTTTTTTAACTGTTTAATGCGCAAAAATTATTTGCATTATTTAAATAATCATAAAATTAATTAAACAAATTTAAATTAAAAAAAAAAAAAATTGATTATTTAAATAATTATTTATTTGATAACTTTTGTTTGATAGCAGCCCTAATAAAAAGCTACAGTTAATTGAATTTTTTTCTAGTTGTTATTTTTATTTATTGTTGTCAGTTTTAAACCTTAAAAAAAAACCTTTTAAATTTACATTTCCAACTATTTTTTATAATTTTACTTTCAAACCGTGTTCATTTATCCTTCAGTATAAAAAAAATTATTTGTAGTTTTGTAAGTATTTCATTAAAGATAATTTGTTTTTTAGCTGGCCAAGTCCTTGTTCACCGCGCTATCACAAATATAAAAAGAGAACGGCATTACCAAGTGTTGAAGACAGGGATAATGGTTTTTAGTTTTTTTTTTTTTTTTTTTTTTTTCAATATCATTTGGTTTTCTTGATTTGTTTAAAAGTTTTAAGCATGTTTTTAAACTTATTCAATATTTTAAAAAAAAAAATATTTTTAATTTTTTTTCCAAAAATTTTTTTTCAAAAATTTTTAATTAGAAAGTCATTTGATTTTTGAATTTGTGGGATTGAGTTAGGTTTTTATTGTCGAATTTTTTTTTTTAATACCTTTGCTATGTTTTCTGTCAGTTGCAAATTTTATTTCAAAAGCTCTTTTTTAATATATTTTAAAATTTATTTTAAGCTTTTTGTTATTCTTGTTAATAGAGATGTTTATTTATTTTATGTTTAAACACAAAATATATTTATACAAGATTATTTTAGAAGGTTTATTTATTATTAAAAAATATTAATAAAATCCTTTTACTATATTTACATAATATATGATTACAGGTAAGTAGATATAAATAAAGACTTTATAGAAAAACATAAAAGTGATAATTACAGGTAATCGTCAAAATAAGATCAGCATGTTGTAATCAGTTTGTAACGTCATTTTTTGTGGCTCTTTACACAGCTTTATATTTACCAAACGGCACCAAAAGTTAAATGTTTTGCATCAACCAGTAATGATTCGTTTATACCAATTTGTTTGACTTTTTTAAATCTTGAAAGTTCTCAGCTTTTCTTATGCAAAATAAAATCTACGAATATGTATATACAATCTTAGACGACCATTATATTTAGCAGCAAGCAAATATGATAAACGTTATAATATGATTGGCAAAAGAGGTGCCAGTCAGATAAACAAAGACAAAATTTGCAAATTAAAAACTTAAAAAGAAATGTTCAATTTTGGATATGGTTTTTAAAAGGACTTGTTGTTTTAGAAAATATTTTGTAGAATCTGCAGTAAAAAATTGCAGCATTTCTATCAAATTAATTAGTTACATTTTTACTCGAGACTTAGCTGTAATGATTTCTTGAAATACTTGAAATATTTATAGGGGAAGTTGGGGCACAGTGGATTGGATTTCTTTATTTTTTAAATTAAGCAGAAGTTAAAATATGTATTTTAATTTTTTCAAGGCGAAATGATTGAGATATATGTCCTTCATGACAAAAAATCAGTGAAATAAAAATATTTATTATCTAACGGCTCACAAAATGGTTTAAAGTGAGTTTTGTTACGTGATTCACTGTACCCTAGTACTACAGCACAGTGAATAAATGAACACAGCCGTGAATTAATGATTGTGTATTAGGGCATAGCCAAATAACTTTGAGGAAAGACACCGTACACTATACTTTTGGCATACTTTTATTAATTAGATTAGTATAAAATCGAAATAATAGACATTTTGAAAATTGAGAATAAAAAGAAAAAATTTATTGATAACAAAATTTATAAAAATATCAAAAAATTAAAAACTTATTAAAATATTAATATTTATAACTTGAAACTAATAAATTCATTTTCATATAGTTTGTTTGTTTAAAAAGCATAAATTTAATCTTTAAAATCATTAATGGGCCTTAGTGAATCAACCTATTCACTGTGCCCCACCATAACAAATTAAGTTTAATTTCTTGGGACACGATTGTTGTTAAAGGAAAAGCTAAACTACTAAAAAAAAGCATAAATATCAATAATCCGAATGAAATGCTTCTAATTTTAAAAATTATTTTAACCATGATCTCCATAACAAACATAAAAAAGGCAAGAAAATTTACTTAGCTAAAAACAAAAATTACCTACCAAAAACCGGTAGTCAAAAAATATGTGATAACAACTATGAGTAAAGATTATCATCATGAACAAAATTCTAATCTTTGAAAAAATGCCTCTTTCACTGTGCCCCTCGTTCCACTGTACCCCAACTTGATTCAAAATTTTTAAATTCAGTTTATTGCAAAGTACTATTTATCAGTAGCAAGCTTTTTTACAATCTGAGCTAAATAATTTTGAAACCTAATAAGATAAAGAATTTTTTTTTTTTTCTTTTATTTTTTACTAAATTGTTTATCAGTAATTTTGTCCTTGTGTTTGGCGTGACAAGTCACCTTGCGTTATACATGAGTTCTTGTAAAACAAACACATAAATATACTTTCACTTTAGTTAGGATAAATTAAATTAGGTAACCTAATATTCAAACTTAAAGGTCTATTTCCAACAAATAGCAACTTAATAGCAGCTAAAACAGCATCAAATCCACTCAAATTATCTAAGTTTACGCCAGAAAAAATATTTTATGCACTCTCATCCGGTTACCCCATAAAGTTCAAGTTAATCAAGGGGAGAAAGGGGGTAAAGCCCTGAGTCCTGCAGTTTTTGGGGCTCTGATTGAAAGTGAATGATTTTTTTAAAGAGAAATTCTGAAAACAAAATTTTTAATTAATGACAGAAAAAAAGCCTTCTGCTTTATAATTATTAGATTGTTATTTATAATAATGTTAGTATTTCGATGTTGTAATCGCTTGTTCCTAATAATGTTATCCATTAGTATTATTTTATTTTTACTGATTTTATTAACATTTATATATATATATATATATATATATATATATATATATATATATATATATATATATATATATATATATATATATATATATATATATATATATATATATATATATATATATATATATATATATATATATATATTAGCTTTTTACTTCATTCTCGTTACGGCATTGTGTAAACTGTACTAAAAGTATTTTTTCATTCACATATGTAACAAATAACGAATTTAAATTCTGATAAAATTTTGAAACTGATGTTTTACCTTTGCTTAAAAATTTTTTTCGTCTTTTAATTAAAATTTTACCAAATTTACCATAATTAATAACTGTTTTATCTCGTATTTTATATTCCGATGAAGAAATTTATTCTTCATTAGACACAGTTCGTAAATATTATGATATATGCAAACTATTATTATTTCAATTTTAATTAAACAAACTCTCTCTCCCCTTTTTTCATATCATCAATACTATCATTAATTAATTTTGATTTTCTATTATTAGCATAACTAAAACAAATTTAAAAAAGAAGCATCCTCAATTCACCCGATTCTCATCGGTAATTACAACATTGAGCAAACTGAATCATCTTGTGGTGGTACATTATTACATTTATCAAAAAAACTAACATACAAACGAAGTGATGATTTGATGGTTTACACACCTAATTGTTTAGAATCCATATTTGTTCAAACTTTTTTTTCTCAAATGCCTAATATTCTTGTTAGTTGCATTTATAGACATCTCTGCATGGATATCAATATTTTTCATAATATCATATCTTTACTAATTCAAAAAATATCAGCTGTAAATCTATTTCTTACTTAGTGGTTATAATATTGACCTTATAAAACCAAATAATGACATTGTGACGTCTGATTTTTTTAATCATATTTTCTTTTAATAATATTTACCCTATTATCATTTTGCCGTCTAGAATTACTGATCATTCTGCTACAGTCATTGATAAAATTTTCTCTAATTTAATAACCATCAAAATTATTTTAGAAAATTTGACATGAGTTTCTATTTCTGATCATTAACCTCAATTTTGTATATGCCCTAATTTCAATAAATTGTTTATACCACGCAGACACAATTTATATAACAGGAGTTTTGAAAACTTCAATAAAGAAAACTTCAAATCTGATTAATCAAAAATTGACTGGGATGATGTTTTAAAGTCGAAGAATACTAACTGATGTTTGAAAATGTTTATTACTCAAATAAAACTGGTTTTAAATTGCTTTACCCCAAAAAACTAGCATCAAAGCTTAAAACGTAGATTTAAACTATGGATTACAAAAGGAATTATAAAATCTTTTTATGTGCGCTATCTTTTTCAACAAAAAATGTTATGATCTAAAGATCTTATTAATATAAACAAGTTTGAAACTATCTTTAAAAGATATAAGATATATGATAATGACATTAATTAAACTTAGTAAAAAAATCCATTTAAAAAATTTTTTCTCAGAAAATACAAAAAAATTTTCGTAAAATTTGAAAGACATTAACAATCTGATAAATAAAACTTATATAATTGATCCAATCAAAAGTATATTAAATATACAAATTTACATAATTTACTATTATTTCCAGGTTGTCGGTATAATGCGAACTGCGAACCGGTAAAATGCGAACTTTTTTGCAAACCAAAACATTATATTTAAAGACCATTATTGTTATGATAAAAATAATAACAAAAAAACTCTCCTATTCTTAATTTTCTATTTTAAAGCCTTATTTAAAATAAAATTATATTTTTTAACTGTAAAACATGCGCGGAGTGTTGCTACACCGACTATCTTATAGCCTAACTCGCAACGCAGACTGCTAAATCGACTGGGGGTTTGGTTTGGGCACGCAGCCTATCAAATAATTTGAAAAAAAAAAAATTTTATATTGTATTTGTCTAGTTTCGTTTAATTTCCTTTAACTTATTTTTTTAATTAATTTGTTCGCTGAAAAGCCCTTAAAGTATACCGCTAAATGAACTATTCAACGGAAATAAAATATTATATTATTAACAACCAATAGGACGATGGTTCGTAAAAAAGTTCGCATTTTACCAGTTCGCGGTTCGCATTTCGCATTTTACCTAGTACCTTATTTCCATTAATTATTCAAGAAATTTCATCTCTTATATTTAAACTGAATCCAAGAAAATCATTAAGTCCAAGCAGCATTCACACAAACATTCTTTCAGATTTTAACTACCAATTTTCAAATATTCTTTCTAAACTTTCTATTTAATAGCTCGTTCATAATTTGATATTTAGAAATTATTATGCGTTATACCAATATTTAAAAGTGACTCTAAACTTACATGCTCTAACTATAGATCTTCTCTTTTACTTAACATTAGTAAGCTTTTTGAAAAGCTTATTATTTTAGAGTGTACTTTTAAACTCATTTAATT